GGTCGCTATGAGTCGGGGCCGATTCGACGGCACATAACAACAACAACAACATATACTTCGCTGGTTTTTTGTGTTTCTCTAGAGAACCCAATCTAACACACACACCAACTAGGTTCCAATAAAATCTTCCCATATTTACTAAATTATACTTGTTCAGGTAATATGAAGTATTAAACAGTTGTGTTGAACTCACATGGTATTCATATATCTCAAATACTCAATCCCAGGTTAGCTTGAAGGCTCTAAGCCCCAGGGCCTAGATTCACGTGTGTAGATTCAGGAGCCCATGGAGCAATATGATTTAGAAAGTATGAATGGGTCTGTTTGAAATTTTGAGTGAGCTTTTTCCAGGTAGACAAGTATATGACTTTGTACCCTATCAATTTGGAGACCTAGAAAGAGAAGTTTAAAATTTAGGTAGTGGAGGTGAACAAATGCAAGAGTCTTCACTTTATTCCTGGTTCTGCCCTAAAACACAGAGAATGAATCTACATCTCTCCAAACCAAAAACCAAACTCACTGCCATCAAATCAATTCGACTTATAGCGACCCCTCCTTGGGTTTCCGAGGCAGTATCACTATGGAAGTAGATTGCCCAACCTTCCTTCCAAGAAGTGGCTGGTGGGTTTGAACCGTCAGTCTTCTGGTTAGCAGTCAAATGCCTTAGGCACTATGCCACCACAGCTACACCTCTCTAGCCCATAAAAATGCTGTTCTATTTTATAGGCAAAGAGGTAGAGTGACAAAGAATCTTGAACTGAATATTTGGTAGAGTCAGGATAGCCTCAGCTTTCTTACTTGTGATTTACCCAGGAATATATATTCTTTAAATGAGGTATGGTTTTAAGAAAAGTGGGAGCTCTGGTGGCTTAGTGCCTAAGGCATTTGACTATGAACCAGAAGGCTGGCCATTCAAACTCACCAGCCATTCCTTGGAAGGAAGATTGGACAATCTGCTTCTGTAGAGATACCACCTTGACAATCCAAGTAGAGGTTGCTATGAGTCGAACTGACTCAATGGTAGTGAGTTTTTTTATTTTTTTAAGAAAAGTGAGATAAAAGAAATTGGTTAATGTAATATTAGCTACCTTTCATATGGTGCCTGCAAAGCACTTAACACAGTGTCTAGGACAGACAGACACCATCATTTTATTTTTTAATTTAAAAAAACTCTAGTCCAAGCCTGGTCCTCTTATTTATTGTAAATGAAACACTAATAACCCTGCAAGGTAAGCAGATAGAAAAAAAGAAAAATTTGCCAAGTTGATTGCAACTCATGGCAAACCCATGTGTTGTAGAATAGAAGTATGTTCCACAGGGTTTTCAGTGGCTGTGATCTTTGGGAAATAGATCACGGGGTCTTTCTTCCAAGATCCCTCTGGGCGTATTTAAACCACCAACCAAGTGCTTAACCATTTGTGCTACCCAGGGACTCCAAGTAGATGGAGTTGCCAGTATTAAATAGTAACTTCAAAAATAATAACTCATTGCCATAGAGTTGATCCATCTCATTGTGACCCCATTGGGTTTCCAAGACTAAATTTTTACAGAAGTAGACTGCCTCATCTTTCTTCCATGGAGCAGCTAGTAGGTTCAAACCACCAACCTTTTGGTTAGCAGCCAAATGCCTTAACCACTGTACCACCAGAGCTCCTTGAATACTACCTTAGGGGAAAAAAAAAAGATCTTCTTTAGACAGATATACTAACAGGAGCTCTGGGAGTGTAGCGCCAAAGGCACTTGACTGCTAACCAGAAGGCTGGTGGTTCAAACCCACCAGCCACTCCTCAGAAGGAAGGTTGGGCAATCTACTTCTGTAGTGATACCGCCTCAGAAACCCAAGGAGGAGGGGT